GAGGGGACACGGGTGACATGGAGGGGACACGCGTGTCTCACCCATGACGTGGAAGCCCAGCACACACGTGTACGTCGCCCACTCGCGGTCCCGGCTCTCGTAGCGGTTCCGCAGCAGTTTGCAGCCCCCCGCGACGTCCCCTGCGGGGACGGGGACAGGGACGGGGACAGGGATGGGGACAGGGATAGGGACAGGGACGAGGAAAGGGATAGGGACAGGGACGGGGATGGGGACAGGGATAGGGATGGGGACAGGGAGAAGGATGGGGACGGGGAAAGGGATAGGGACAGGGATGGGGATGGGGACAGGGACCAGGACGGGGAGAGGGATAGAGATGGGGACAGGGACAGGGATAAGGACAGGGATAGGAACAGGGACAGGGATGGGGACAGAGACAGGAATGGGGACAGGGATAGGGACGGGGACAGGGATGAGGACAGGGATAGAGATGGGGACAGGCACGGGGAAAGGGATGGGGACAGGGAAAGGGACAGGGATAGGGACAGGCATAGTAACGGCAACAGGGACAGGGATGGGGACAGGGATAGGAATGGGGACAGGGATGGGGACAGAGACAGGGATGGGGACAGGGATAGGGGAGCTGGAGCTGCACATTCCCGCCCGGAGCACCGTGTTCCCGCCCGGAGCGCCCTGATCCTGCCCAGAGTGGCGCGATCCCACCCGGAACACCACGTTCCAATCTGGAGCGCAGCGTTCCCACCCGGAATGCCGCGTTCCCACCCGGAATGCCGCATTCCCGGCCGCTCACAGTAGAGGATCTCGTAGTCGCCGGAGTTGGACATGATGAAGCGACTGTCCCGGGACCAATCCAGGTGGGTGATGAAGCTGGAATGGCCCTGGAGCGGAGCCGGCCCTCAGCGCCCGGCCGGAGCCAACCGGACCCAACCGGAGCCAGCTGGATCCGGCCGGAGCGAGTCGGATCCGACTGGATATAGCCAGAGCGAGCTGGAGCAAGGAGGGAGCTGGATCCAGGCGGAGAGAGCTAGAGCGAGCGGATCCAACCGGAGCAAGATCCGGATGGATAGAGCTGGAATGAGCTGGAGCAAGCCGGAGCAAGCTGGATCCGGATGGAGAGAGCCGGATCCAGCTGGATATAGCTGGAATGAGCTGGATCCGGATGGAGAGAGCTAGAGCGAGTGGATCCAACTGGAGCAAGGCAGATCCAGATGGATAGAGCTGGATCCAGATGGAGAGAGCTAGAGCGAGCAGATCCAACCGGAGCAAGGCAGATCCAGATGGATAGAGCTGGAATGAGCTGGAGCAAGCCGGATCCAGCTGGAGCAAGCTGGAGTGAGCTGGATCCGGATGGAGAGAAGCGGATCCAGCTGGATATAGCTGGAATGAGCTGGATCCAGATGGAGAGAGCTAGAGCGAGCAGATCCAACCGGAGCAAGGCAGATCCAGATGGATATAGCCAGAACGAGCCGGATCCGACTGGATCCAGATGGAGAGAGCCAGATTGAGCCAGAGAGAGCCAGATCCAGCCGGAGCGAGCCGGAGCGCTGGAGAGAATCCAAGGAGCAGAGAGAGCCGGAGCAAGAGGGAGCGGGAACATCCCGGAGAGCCGGAGCGAGGGGGGACGTCGGAGCAAGCGGAGCGGCCGGAGGGAGCTGCAAGGACAGAGCGAGGGGGGATCGGAGTGAGCGGGAGCGTCGGGAAAAGCGGGAGCACCGGAGCGAGAAGGGACATTGGAGAGAGTGGGAACATTGGAGCGAGTGGGAGCACCGGAGTCGTGGGGGCACTGGGAACATCGGAGCAGCGGGAACACCAGAGCACTGGGAGCTCCGGAGCTGCAGGAGCACCGGAACAAGCGGGAATGCTGGATCCATAGGAGCACCGGAGCAGTGGGAGCACCGGAGCAGG